GGGGGAGCTTTGGGATGGGGTGGTGAGGGGGGTGAGGCTATAGACTCTTGGTTTGGGAAGGAGCCTCTGGGCTCACTGAGACCCCTGTCCCCCTCCCAGGCTGCAGGGCCACCAGGCAGGCATGGTGGGCTATGACCCTGAGGCCAAGTGCGTCTCCACGGTGGAAGCAGCTGTAGCAGGATCGGCATCCGGCTTGGTCACTCGGGTCCTTATCAGCCCCTTGGATGTCATCAAGATTCGCTTTCAGGTACCTCCCTCATTGTGTGCTTGGGGATGAGGTGAAAGAGCTTGTTACGGAGCAGAGCTGAGCTTGGCCTGGACCAACAGGTCACTTGTGCAACCAGAGAGCACTGACTCTGCTCCTCAGCCCTCACCTACATTGTATACAGGTTATGCAAGGTAGTAGGGCTATCTTGAGTCCACTGCTTCTGTTTATATAACTTGTGTGTTCGAATGGGGTCTTGTGTTTTTCATAGTTTGTTCTCTTTCTCTGTTTTTCTGAATGAGCTCTGCTGTCTAACTGAATTTCACCGTCATCCCTATCGATTCCCGTTGTGTTGCATGCATGTTTTTATTCTTTTAGAGCCCTACATAAATAACACCCTGGTCAGTTCTCGATGTGATTCTGTGGGAAGGCAGAATGTCATCTCTCAGCATTGGTTGTTCCTTAAGAGTTGTGAATTCCTGAATTAGATGCTTGAAATGTGACGTGAAATTGAAAATATTTTCTCTGTTTTCCTCCAGCTTCAGATCGAGCAGCTCTCCCCCAGAAACCCAGGGGCTAAATATCACGGTATCTTGCAAGCTGTACATCGCATCTTCCAGGAAGAGGGGTTGGTAGCCTTCTGGAAGGGCCATGTTCCTGCTCAGTTCCTTTCAGTTGGCTACGGAGCTGTTCAGGTAAGGAGACTGGACATCACCAGTGCCCAGCGTACACACATAGGACTCTCATACTTCTCTTCAAACTGTCTGCATGGGCAGATGGAGAAAGGTCCAGGTTTAAACTGTACTGATGCAAGGCAGGTCCAGTCTCAAAGATGTGCAGTTGTACAATGGTGATGTATAATTCCTAAGTTAATATTCCTGAGCTTGCTGAACAGCCAGCGTGGAGCACAGCTAGAGCAGACTGAGTTCTGTGTCTGGTGTCGCAGACAAGCCCTGCTTGTTCTTTAGCTGTTCATCTTCTAACCCTGTGGAGTTTTTTTGCTTTTGATCATGATGTCACCCTAATGGCTTGTTAGGAAAAAAATCAGTGAAGCTGATGATGGTGCTTTACACAGCATTGTAAATAATAATAACAGCACAGTTTATGAGCAGGGGTTGGAAGAGTAATGGGCAGCATATCTTTAATATAACAAATGTTCTTCAGGACACATAAAGCATTAAAATGAGTTTTTAACAATTCTAAATGCAAGATTTAGCAGAAGTGTCAAGAGAGCAGAATATCCCAAGCATTCCCCGGGCTGCTCAGTGATTTTTACAAGGTATTCTTTGAGCACATGTTCCAACAGGCTGCGAGTTGGGGAGGACTTTTGAAGGACAGAGAGAGAAGTTGGTTACAAGCAGTGGGTGGAGCTCTTTTGGTGAAATGGGAGAGGAGCAGGAGATCCATGTCGGTGATAAAGACTGACTCCTTCTCCTGTGTGTGCTTGTTTCTGTCAGTTCATGGCGTTTGAAAGCTTGACAAAACTGGTGCACAACATCACCTCGTACGACGCCCGCGATTCCTTTGTGCACTTCGTCTGCGGCGGACTGGCTGCTTGCCCGGCCACTGTGGCAGTTCAGCCTGTTGACACGCTACGCACCCGCTTTGCTGCTCAGGGAGAGCCCAAGGTATGGCTGAGGGTTAGTGTTTGGAGTTATTATCCACAGCAGTAGCAATGTTTCATGTGTATGAGCACAGAAGGTTTGAAAAGGACATAACAGTCCGTGGGTTAACGTAAAGACACAGGTGGTGTTATTGGGCAATGTTTGCACTGTTGCCAAGGTATCCTCTGTGCTGTTGACACAGCTTTCTTATGTTTTGCTGCTTCTGATTGTGTTTGACTTCTGACAGGTCATCCAGAAAGGAGAAACTGTCCTTAACAGGATAACTCAATTTTCATTTCAGCTGTTGGCTGTTTATAGAACACACTCCCCAGTCTGCTGAACATTGCGTGTTTGGGATTTTCTGCTTGCACAGAGTCACGTTTAGATAATGATGAGGGTGGTACTTTTTTTTATAAGGGCAGTTAATGATAGAACAAGGGGAAATGGCTCTAAACTGGAAGAGGGGAGGTTTAGATGAGATATTAGGAAGAAATTATTTCCTGTGAGGATGATGAGACACTGGCCCAGGTTGCCCAGAGAAGCTGTGGCTGCTCCTCCCTGGAAGTGTTGAAGGCCAGGTTGGATGAGGCTTTGAGCAACCTGGTCTAGTGGAAGGTGTCCCTGCTGCTGGCAGGGGGGTTGGAACTGGATGATCCTTAAGGTCTCCTCCAACCCAAACCAGTCTGTGATTCTATACTTGAAACCAGTCACCTTCCACCTGTGTTTCATGTTCTTGTTTATGCAAGAATCGGTCTCCATGCTAGTTAAGTCCATAATAACTAGACTCATATGGGTTTGTATCAGAGCCACGTCTGGTTTTTGACTTAGCCTGCAGTAGAATCACAATATATATTACTTGAATTCTGTTGCAGGAGCAAGCAGAGCTGTTAGAAAAATAAATAATCGTGACTGTGATGTAAGTGGTCTCAGGCCACAGCTCTTAGCTCTGTGCCTTGTTTCTTTCGCTCAGCAGCACAGCTTGGATGTGGGATACAGTGTCAGCCCAGGCCTTTCAGTGCAGAGCTAATGACTGGTCATTCAATTAGTCTCTTGTGGCTCAGAGGTGGGGTTAGGCTGTCAGCTTACAAGAGTCACAAGTGCTTTAGCCAAGAATACTGTGTGAAGAGGAGCAAAAATCACTTTGTTCATCCCTTTGTGCTGAAAACGAGTCAATTGTATTTGGGGCTGTGGGAACTTCCTATCTGCATTACTGGGAAAGAGCCTGACCTTTGGTTTGCTGTTTTTAGGCCTGTTCCACTAGAGAATCATCTTCTCCTTTATTGTCTAGATCTATCGCAGCCTTCGCCACGCGGTGGTGACGATGTACCAGACAGAAGGGCCTCGGACTTTCTATAGAGGTTTGACCCCCACAATCGTTGCTGTCTTTCCATATGCTGGTCTCCAGTTCTCCTTCTACAACATCCTGCAACAGTTCTCTGAATGGGTGATTCCAGCTGAAGGAAAGAAAGGAGGTAGGCACTTGTTAGAGTGATGTCAGCAATCTGGAGAGGAGGAGAGGATGAATGCTGGTTTGGGAGACTGGCATAAGCTCAATTTTTTATCCTGTCACTCTTTTCAATGCAACATCTGAAAAGTATCTCCATTTCCCATCTCTCACTGTTACTCCTGCACAGATATTGTGAAAGTAAGTGCAGTCAAGTTTACAAAGATGTCATGTTATGGAATAACCATGATGGAAATGTGGATGGATGGCCAAGTGAAGTGTTACAGGCCAGGGTACTCTTTCTTGAGCTGTGTCCCATTACTTGTGCTGTGGGAAGCCAGTGCTGCTGTAATCCTTCTCAGTTTCATTAGTGCTGTGGGGACAGAACTCTTGGGTTTCCTCAGGAAATCTGCCTGCAGATTCCAACACAGCTGTTACAGAAGATGATTCATTTAGCCTAATTTAAAACTGCCAAGCTCTTGATTTGATGTTTTTATATTGATTTATAGCTCCATTATAAGAGAACATCATCCTGATGGGACCTGTCACCTTGACAGTTCTGGGTACTAGTGCCTTCCTGAGGGACAGTGTATGCAGCACCAGCGTGGTTTTGTTCCTCAATGGAATTTCTTCAAGCAGAGGCTCTAGACTTCCAATATCATATCTGCATATTTGGTTTTAGATGAAAGAGTCAGATGGTGGTTTTGTGCTGGGAACTCATGTTTGTCAGGAAAAAGTCTAATACCACAAAACTCATTTCCCACAAGCCTTTGAAATCATCAGGCAGCATCAACTTGTGACGTATTCCATGCCAGAGTAAAGTCAGTGTGAGTGATCAGGGTGTGAGATTGCCAGTGAGCAGGCTTTTACTTGGGGGCCATGAAAACTTTTCCATCCACTAGTGGTGGGTTCTCTAGTGATCGGGGGGGTTTTGTGCAATGCCATTTGGCAGAGCAAAAGCATAAATCCATGTAAGGAACCAAGATGAGTTGGTTGGACAGCTCCAATGGACATGGTGAGCCTGATGCAGAAAATACAGATTGAAGTTACGTGACCCAAACTGTGCAGAAGAGATGATGTAACTTTAAAGGGCTTTTTTGACCTTACTTCTTGTTAAAAGTGATTTTTAACTTACTTCTCGTGACTGTTTATTCAGAGCTTGCTGCTAATCATCTGTTTTCTCTCCCTGCTTCTCTCTGTCTCCCCTTTTCTGCTTCTCAGGCAATGTTAAAAACCTTGTTTGTGGCAGCTGTGCTGGAATCATCAGCAAAACCCTCACTTACCCTTTTGACCTGTTCAAAAAACGTCTGCAAGTGGGTGGCTTTGAGCAGGCTCGGGCAGCCTTTGGACAGGTGAGAAATGTTGGAATTGACTGATTTTCCTGAGTATGGATTTGCATCAAGACAATCCAGAGCCGGTTATCCAGAAGGCAGTGATGATTCACTGGTGGTACCTGTTGTGTTTGGGTTGGGATCTCCTGGAGAACTTCTGGGAGCTGAGCATTGGTCTTGCTTAATAATGGGAATAGCTGCATGGATAAAATGGGTTAATTTTATGATTTTATCCAACATACCTGTGCTCTGTGTTCTCATCCATCGCCATCAGGTTGACTTTCTCGGAGCTAGGGATGAGTTAGGCAGGCAAAGAGGTTTTGATTTACTTTACTTTTCTAATTGCAGCTTGGTATTTGTGATTAGTACCAAATTACTAGTGGAGGATGACACTAGCTTTATGCTGGGATCACCTGTCTGTCAGGATCCTTTTCTGTGATTAATATTTTGATACAAGGAATAGGCACCAAGTGTTCAGCCTCTGTCTTATGTACAGAACATCCCGAAATTCAAAGCAAATTAAATACTTCTGGTGTTCTTTAGCACCATCCTTACCGCCTCAAAGTACACTGTAAGACAAATACAGACCTTTCAAGGAACTCTCTTTTTTTTCCCCTGTGAAATGTGGGAATTTTCTTTTTTCTTTCAAATTCCTTGGATGTGAGAAGCAAATCAGTCTGTACCTCAAGAAACTCTGGGATAGGAATTTGACCTTAGCCCATTGCATTGGATGCTTTTCCAGCGAGGTACAAAATTCCTTTTTAATGCTGATGTGTCACGAGATGTTAAACCCCCTGTGACACAATGACATCTCGAGAGCTAATTTAAAGATTTCCAGGTGCTGGAGCTTTGTTTTCTTTCTGTCAGAAAACTGAAAAGTTGTTCCTCCTTAGAGAGTGAGGGGATGGAAAACAGAAGCAGCACAGTCTGAAATAGTTACTTCACAAACTTGTACCTTAAATAATAGGTGCTGTTGTGGTGTAAAGATTTCAGGAGCATTCAATTAGAATGATTTGCATAAGCCATTGCTGATGGCTTTTCCTCTACCCCACTCTCTACAAAGTGACTCTCTGAAACTTTGAGTTCTAGTAATAGCCAGAAAGGCATCTCCAGACCGCACGCCCAGGTTATGTTTCAGTGATGGAGTTTGGGGCTCTCTGTGTTCTTTTCCAGGTGAGTTGTTCTGGATTTTTCTTGTTTAACCTTTTTGCCGTTTCTCTCCCAGGTACGGATCTACAGGGGTCTCCTGGACTGCATAAGGCAGATCATACGAGAGGAGGGCCCAGGTGGATTCTTTAAGGGCCTTTCTCCCAGCTTGCTGAAGGCTGCTGTCTCTACTGGCCTTGTCTTCTTTTGGTATGAGCTGTTTTGCAGCCTCCTCTGTGCCCTGAAACACACCGATAGCACTAAGAGGTAGGAGGGCTGAAAGGAGCGTGGATACAGCTACCTGGTGTTTTGGAGGAGAGGAAACTGATGGCTTTGCTCTGTCATGAGCTTGTTGGAAAGGTCAGAGCTCCCCCAGCCTGTAGGAAATCGCCTCCTGGGATCAAGCAGAAGGAGAAGGTGACTGCAGTTCTGCTGAAGACACTGGACTGCTTTACTGGAAGCTGTTCAACTGAGCACTTTTATTTCTCTGTCTCCTCTAATATCAGCACACATTTAGTGGGGAGAGTGAGGAACCAAGCAGACAACTACCTAGCAGAGACTGCTCAGAAAAGGCACCCGAGGAAGTGGGTGAACCCCTGGGCTTGCCCTGGATCACAGAGAGGGATCCTGGCCCAGCTAGTGCTGCCTGACCGACGAATGTCACTGCCTGTCACTGCATCCGCACAGCTCTATTTCCTTGCTCTGTGGCCTGCTGTTTGCACCGTGTTCTTTTCTCTGTGTTGCAGGGGTAGCTCTGTCCTGCTGTTACAAAGTCAGTTAAAACCTCTTCAGTGTGCACAGAACCTCCGTTTTCCTTTTCTTTGCTGTCAGCTGCTGCTTCTTGATTCCCATTCGCTGGCTGCGCATTCTCAGCCACCCTAAATCTTCTAGTGCATCGTGCTGACCCAAACTTGCTCTTCCTTTAATTCTGGTGAGCTTGATTGTATCCCCAGTGCCCATTTCTCTTCCTGTGTGTCCTGCTGTACATCTCTTAGGGTTTTGCATTGCCTCAGTCACGCTTTTCACAAGTAGATCTGCAAATTAAGAACCCTGCTCTAAGAGGATTCAACGCACAAGCCAAATTCTTACTTCAGGGTTATATTTTTTCTATGCAGTGAGGAAACAGATGCAGTTTATTTTAGAAATATTTAATCTAAGTTGGAATAATGAAGGAAATGTCCTGTGGAAACTAGTAAATGTCTTTTTTTTTTTAATACTACCTTTGAATGTTTCTAGCAAGTATTTCTATAGCGGCCTCAAAACATTTCTGAACCTTAGTCCTACAATGGTGCTAACAGATGAAAATGTTTTGACAAGATACAGCAGAAGGGAGAGGGCTGAACATCAAATCAGAATTGGTTGGCTTGGCGTGGTGTTTGACAAGAAAAGGATGATTGAATTAGAGCTGGAGACATGTTTTTTTGGAGTTTCAAAGGTTTTATGAATGGTTAAAAAAAACCCAAACAAAACAAAACAGCCAGCCAACCAACAACTCTAATTTACATAACAGGGGAAAAGAGAAAAATTACTTTCTTCCTCCTCCTTTATTCTCTGATTTTCCAGCTGAGCAGGGTGTGGAAGGCAGACTTCCGAGGAAGAGCCACTGTGATACAGAAGCACGTTGGGCATCCGGCGAGTGGTGGATAGGGCAGAGCAGGGCAGTCATTTAGAGGATGGTTTGATGGTTCTTCTCTTAATGCAGAGCTTTTCATGGCTCTTCTGCAATATTCAGGGTGTTAATCCCAAATAGTCTGGCTGAATTCCAGCATGACCAATTCCATGCTGTTGACGCAACTTCTCCTGGTGATTTTAAGCATATCAGCATTGCTCGCTTATCCTGAACTATTGTGAGAGGCTGTTTTTAAAGAGCAGCTGTTTCACTGGTGGCTGAGATATCTAGAGAGATTCTGTGCAAGACCAGGCCAAATAACTTGGTGTCTGCTGTGGTCTGAGATCTTGGAGTGCACAAGTGTCTGTTTCCCTGCAGGTGACTTTGTGAGCTCCATAAAATTAAATGCACTGAGCAGTGTCAGGCAGGAGGCTGATATTTGAGCCTCAGAGACGGAGCGTTAGCTGCATGTACTCTAAAAATGGGCAGTTTTGCTTAGAGGAGAAAAGGCAAAGAACGTGGAGTGAAGTTTCTCAAAGCACCTCAATCCTGTTGGCATTTCCTGAGGCTCTTCTGAGATTCCCCAAAAATCTTCTTGGCAATATTTTACCCGTGTTTATTGTTCATCTGTTGTTCTTGGAAAGACATCATAACCAGTAATGAACTTAGCCCTGTGACATCCTTCTGAGGGAGAGAAACATGTCATGTTGAAACAGACACGAACAGGTTGGGGTTGTTACTGGCTGCTGGTAGGAAGGAATGTTGGTGTGGTTAGCAGGGGTGGGACTGGCCACAGCAGAAAACTTTCTGTGCTGACCTGGGCTTCCAGAGGAAATCAGGACTCATCCATCCTGTCTAAGCCTGACAAGACTCTTTTTCCACTTTATGTCAAAGAGCTGCTGTTAAACTGCACAAAATAGGGGGAAACCAGTGAGGAACTTGGCAGTGGGAATGGCAATTCCTGGAATAGGGGGTGAGTTGCTTTGGTTGTCACAGAGAATAAAGAACAGAAAGTTCTGTGCTCTGCTAAGGTTGTGTTCCCTGGGTGTGCTGTGGTGCTTGAGGTGGTGCAGGCAAACAGCTTTGGGGGCATGAAACTTGGCTGCTCTGCAGAGAGGGCAGCAGTGGAGACTGGAGAGCAGCTTTTCCTCTCTGGGATAGTTTTTTCCTCCACTCTGCATTAGATGACCTTGTCTCCATCCAAGGAGATGGCAAAGTCAGAGGTTCAGTTGTGGCAGCCTGGCCCCTGCTGCAGAAGAGGCACTCCCTGGTCAGAGGGTTTGGTTTATATATCGATTGATCCCTTTGGGCTGTTAGTGATAAATGTTATAGGCCCATAAAGGGTCTTCTAGAGAGTGAAGGAGAAGGAAGTGACAACCTCAACTATACACTGTTAGAAGATCCATCTGACGGTGGCTTCATCCCTGGCCTCTGCTCAGCAGCATCGCTCAGAAATTTCTGACGTGTGCTTTGCTACCTGGGAGTCGCTGCTGGGGAAAGGGCTGTGGCAGGAATGTTGGTTTCTCTTTGGGAATGAGACTGGTTTAGTACAAAGCAGCAGGAGGAGGACAGGTCTTATTTCTGATGCTGCTCTGACAGAACACAGCGCCGTTTGAAGCTAAATTTCCCAGAATCAGAGGAGCAGGAGATGGGAGAGATCTGTGGTCACCTTGTTCTTCTATATGCTGGGACAGATTTGCTCTCAGAAACTGCACCCCAGTTCAGTTTCAGGTGACTCAAGGCAGTGAGTGACTTTCTGTGAGACTCCACACTGCATGTTGGGACGGCTGGGATTTCACTCTGCTGTCATCCCATCAGCGAGGATTTGCGTTGCCTGAAACTCACCTCACGAGCTGCTCAGCGATTGGGTTTGTTTTCTTCTAGTGCCTTTCACCAGCAGAATGTCCAAAAGCACTTTAGCAGGAAGAGCATTCAAGCCAAGTTGCACTGGAGTTGTTAGAACCATCGTTCTTAGCTGGTCTTGGCTGGGAGAACGTTGACACACAGCACAAGTTGTGTGATGACCACGCTGTTCCCTGCAGCGCCCCGGGCTCGCTGAGTTCCTGGGACAGGTCTGTTCTCAGGATGTTCATCCAGAGCCTCATAGCATCATTATTTTAAAAACAAATGAATGTTCTACAGTCGGGCTGGGAATAGATTGTCTTTAATTGGGGTTTAAGTTTCTCTTGTGATGTAGAACTGTAATTCTCTGTTGTGTTGCCCGAGTGGATCTTTTGCAGCTGCCGTTGTCCGACAGCGTCCGAGCACAACGCGCACGAGGCGTGACTGACGGCCTTTGAGAAAAGGTCCATTAAAGAGTTTGTTATGTTCATGTCTGGCTGCATTTTGTTTATTCCTTTCCTGCCCTTATTCCTTAAGGGCAGTTAATGACAGAACAAGGGGAAATGGCTCTAAACTGGAAGAGGGGAGGTTGAGATGAGATATTAGGAAGAAGTTCTTCACTGTGAGGGTGGTTACACACTGGAACAGGTTGCCCAAGGAAGTTGTGGCTGCTCCTCCCTGGAAGTGTTCCAGGCCAGGCTGGATGAGGCTTTGAGCAACCTGGTCTAGTGGAAGGTGTCCCTGCTGATGGCAGGGGGGTTGGGACTGGATGAGCTTTAAGGTCCCTTCCAACCCAAACCATTCTATGATTCTCCTAGTGCAGACGCTCAGCTGGATGTCACGGGGCCACCGTGTCCCTCCTGCTGCCCAAAGGGGAGGATAGTCAGAGCCCAGAGTGTGGGCTGAGAGCAGACATCTGCTTTTCCCATCCCATCGCTGGCTCCTGGGTGCTGGTCACCAGCAAGGCAGGGCCATCCCATCCCCTCTGCCATGTGGGGTGACACTTTGGGGATCAGCCAAGGGGGTTTGAGCAGTTCCAGTCCCACCACTGTGCCCAGGAGGGACTGTCAGAACCGCGGTGGCTTGCCCTGAGCTGCACACCCGTGGTGGCTGAGTTCAGGCTTTGTTTGTATCCAGCCAGGCCACACAGTGCTGCAGAAAATGTTCACAGAGTGCTCGTTCTGCGCTTCCCGAGGCTGTCCTCTGGTTTCTGGCTGCTCTGCTGTGGAGGCTTCAACCCCTCAGGGATCTTCCCCTGTGAAATGTTTGGGAGTTTAGAGAAAATCCACGCTGCTGCACCCCACTCGGCTCCTGTTGCAGCCCTGTGCTTTACTGCGTCTCCCCTTTCCTCGGGTTTTTTCTCCCGATTTGGTGTTTTTAT